CAGACTGAACAAAGACACAGACTCATATGCAGGCACTACAAAGGGAACAGAGACGTGGGAACAGGGCAGACACAACCACTGACTGATATAGGGGGATATAGGAACTTAGGATACACATAGACACGAACTAGACAAGGGGATGCAGGTGATAGGGGAGACAGAGCACTTAAAGAAGACAGAGACATAAGCCATAAGACAGAACTCAAAGAAACCAAAAACTAGGAAGTATAAATAATATCAAAAACTCAAAAACCCTGGGTCGACGACCCAGGCATCCTAACACATGGTTGATGACTGCTAGTGTTTTGGTTTCTGTTCTCTACTTCTCACTTTCTAGTTCCTTTTTGTCTTGTGATTGCTATAGGTTTTGGTTCCTGTGCCCGTCATGTTTAGTGTAGGTTAGCAGTTTTTTATACTCTTGTCCCTGTGCTCTGTGTTCCCTCTCTTCACGGTGTAGTCCTTGCTGCTGTGCCTGTCATGTGCTTCCTGTTTTATTTTGATAGTCCCTGTCCTGTGTGTAGTGTGTCTAGCTTTGCTTCTCCTTAGTCTCATTAGGTCTGATTTGTCCCAATTGTGTTTCCACCTGTTCCCCTTCCTCTCATTGTCCTGCTTGCGTTTTATGCCCTGTGTTTCTCTCTGTTTCTGGTTTTTTCCCTTCGTGTTCCTGTCTTAATTCTAGTGCATAGTTCCTGGTTGTCCTGGTTCATGTTTCTTAGTTTTTAGTTTGAGTCCACTTTAGTCCTAGTTTTTATGTTTGAGGTTTTGGTTTGGTTTTTTTGTGAGTTTATTTTATGTAAAGTTTTCCCAGTAATAAACCTGTTGCTTTAAATTATTCCATCTCTGAGTCCTGGGTTTGGGTCCTACAACCTGGCGGCCACACCACACCACACAGCATGACAAAATTTGCGTTCCACTCTAGATACAAATCACAACTGTTTCAGAATATTATTATTCACTTGAAAAAACCCATTGCTAGCTGATTTTTTTTTTCTGGAACCCTTTTTCTGATTTGGTAATTATTTTTAAAAATGTAAAAAATAAATAAATAAATACAATCTATCAATCTGTGCTGACAGTCTATAGTCTGAAAGTGTTCAAAATGTCTCCAGAAAGCTAGCAATTTACCCACAGGTGCTAAACATTTCTGCCTGGATGATGGATTGATCAACAGACCACAGTTTCACAGTTGATTTATTTTTGCATGTATTTACAGTATTTATAAATTTATGAGCACAATTGCAGGAAAAGAGAGCTTCTTAACACCACAAATAAAATGATTTTTAGTTACATAACCCAGTTAAAAACACTGAAATAAATTTCTGTCAAATCAGAAGGAAAAACTGAGGATGGGTTTCTTCCCACCTCTTCAGACCAGAGGATAGCTTGCTTTAGAAGCAATCCCACACTGGTTGGATTTGTTCCTGCTCATCTTTATGTATCCTTTCTCTCCCCATCCAAGGCCGAAGCTACAGGAAAGAACAAATGAGCAACATTTAGCAACAAAAAATGAATAGCGTCCACACTAGACATAAGGACCTGCTTAAATAATATGCATTTTACATGTGTGTGTGTGTGTGTATCAGCACTCACTCTTAGAAAAAGTGAACTGCATGAATTCAAATATGAGCATCACATGTGGGTATTTACCTGTTCTTGACCAGCCAGTAGTCATGTCCATTTTCCGTACCATAACCCACAGCCAGCATAGCATGGCTGTACCGTGAGGTTATACATGAAGGCTCGTCATACACTCCTAGAAATATATGTCAGTTAGACAAATGAAGCACTTCACATTTGATCGTTTTCAATTTAAAGGTTTCATGACATCTTTTTCAGTGTGTGTACCTGATTGGTAGAACTGAAACGACTCGTGAGAAGCATCCATGGCAATAGATATCGGTCCAATGGTGGCCACAGCCTCCTTCAGAGCATCTTCATTCGGACTTACATCAACATAGCCGGTACACGTGGCACCAACAGTTTCAGGGTTGTAATGGCAATTTCCTTCCTAATACAGAAAAAAAGATGCTATAATTTATTGTGTTAGTCATAATTATATTCACAAAAAGAGCATTTAGAAAACACCGTGATCTTAAAGATGTGTTTTGAAAGAAGTCAGTAAAGTAGCTAATGCTGTGGGCTTCATGTGGCTTGGAGCTAATATGTGTTTTGGAAGTACACAACTTCATACATTTTCATGATAAATAACCCTGTCTGAATGAGCTGATTTACACTTCTACTTCTTAGATTAGTATTATGATTGTCAGGTAATGATAATTATTTTTTCATAATGCTTACCTCAGCCTCATAAGGGTAGGACTCCTCAGTGTCAATTCCTCCAGCTGCTTGGATGTACTTGAAGGCATAGTCCATCCAGCCTCCATTGCAGCCATGGTTGCCAAAGCTCTGAGAGCAGTCGACCAACTGCTGCTTACTCAGAGACACCAGCTTTCCTGTCTTCCTGAAGTTCTGACCCTCCAGTGCACCAATCTGCAATAAGGATGAGTCTATTTGAACCCAGACAATAGTTGAACAAACTTCCGATTTTACAGGATTAAAGAACACTGGGGCTTATGTACTCACTGTACTGAAGGCCCAGCAGGAGCCACATTGCATCTGATTCTGGACATCAGTGACATATCCCTTATCCCTCCAGTCAACAGTGTCAGGTAGATCAGTACCTTCAGGTAGCCGAAGGAAGGTAGAGCCGCGGTGATGCAGAGAAGTATTGAAGGAGCCAAGGCAGCCCCGGGAAACCAGTCGTCTGTACTCTTCATTTTCCTGGTCAAGAGGGACCAAATTTATCAGTTTTTAGTTCAAAAGTTTGTTTTTATGTTTCTGTTTTTTTAACCTTACAATTACAACTAAAAGTATTCATGACACATATACCATTTTTCTGCATATACCATGTCAGCAAAGTGGGTCATCCCAAGTCGGTAGGACTTCAAACCCTGGTCTGCCAAAATGTTGTGCACTAGAACATGTTTGCGGTTGTTGAGCCAGATTTGTTTCCGGTGAGCCTCCTCTGACTCAGAGTCATATGACTTTTCTGCATAGTGGAAAAGGAAATTATGAGAAACAGAATAATAGAAAATCCATTAATGAATTTTAGGGAAAATGCATATTTCCCTTTGTTTCCACAGTTTTCCAAGTTTGAGGCTTGTACAGTATCTTAATGTCAGCAGAACACAATTAAAAAACAAACGGTTTACATCAAAGAGGAGAGGCTTGTACAGTATTTAAAAAGCACAGAAAGGGATCAACAGCAATAAAAAGACTAAAAGAGTCTGCTGTCTCACCAAACTTGAGTTTCCAGGCGTGAAACTCCAGATCTTCCAGAGAGATGCTGGCACAGCTGGATACAGCCAGAACAGCAGCAACAACAAGCAGCAACTTCATCTTGACTGAACACAAGCAGAAAAAGACAGAAATCCTTTGTTACTTACAGGAAACCACACATGCAGTTTCGGGGTTTTTTTTTAATGACAGCTTTAAAACGCACTCTTTCGTAATGTCACTTTCATAGCGTCACACTATTCACTTTGATTTTTTCTTCGACTATTTGTTTCACATTTCCCACCAGTTCTTTCCAAAATTAATGATTCTCTGCTTTTTTTCATTAACACACTGCTGAAAAGTGCATTCATAATTGTCTACATGTCTAGTTAACGCTACTGTAGCTACTTACCTGTACCGCCTGACTCAGTCTGACTGATAACCACCTGTGGCTGATAAACGACTGTGCCAGAGGGAGCTTGTTTATTTAGCCGACTATAATATGACTGCAGTACTCCAGTCAGGTCAGGACAGCACGGAAAGAAAAAGTGTCAAGCACTGAAGCACAAAAGGGTGGAGCTAAACATTGAGAGTGAAAATAATTTTCCAAAGAGGAAGTCACAGAGTGTTTGGCTTTCCCCCACAGTGTTAACTGGAAGTTACACAGTCATGTGGATGAACCTTCATGACAGTCAGCATTCTTTGGGGTTTTTTCTCTCAAGTAGCTTTTGCAAATTTCTGAGGTGTGTTTGGGATCACTGAAAAAACACTCAAACTTAAATATGTCGTACTGTGTTTCCCTCTCCTGCAGGTCTACTTACAAAAACCATCCTGTTACTTTGCTAAAAGCCACAGAAGCAGTAAGTATATGTCCACATTTCAAACTTTTTGAACAACATAAAATGTTTATTTTGAATTGTTTAAGCCAACTGTATTATGTCTTGTGGTATATATAAAGACACTGAGTTCTTATACATAATAGGTATAAAAACTCAGCTTGTCTTTGAGAAATATTTTTAATTGATGTGTCTGAAAAACTACAAATAAAATAAAGCAACTCAAACAAGCAAGTGGACAGATACTGAATCTACTACATGAAGCACAGTTGTCAATCAAGTTGTTTAATTAACAAGTCGCAACCTGACTTTGACCTTAGATTTGTTTTTGTGAGCAGAAATTCCTTCCTCAGGTGTATGACTCGTGATTTTTTTCCCATCACCACAAACCGGTTGAGGCAGTCTGACATCAGTCCCAGAGGTTACTTCTGCTGATTTCTTTCTGTTAGGCAAATTGTTGGTATACAGCAACACTAGCTGAATGATTTGATTTGCATCTCCAACTGCTATTAGGCAAGATAACAATAGTCATTTGTTATGAAGACCTGTCGAGTCAAAGATTATGATCAGGGATTTTTCTGCACATATCAAATGACCTATACGTCATCTGGCAACAAAACTGTTTGTCAATGACTTGTCAAATATCAAATGTTTCTTAAACTCATTGAATTAAAGGTAAAAGTCTGCACTTCAGTCGCATTTTGAGTATTTGATTTAAAATGATATGGATGGACAAAACCAGATGAATTGTGCGTCTGTCCAACAAATTACGTGTATGTGACATTACTCTGACATAGAGTTTGCTTCATCTGTGTAGAGAATCTGTTCTTAGTCTTCTTCTTTCTCAGGTTTCTGATGCCTGAGGTGTTTACTAAGCACACAGTCAGTGTACATCTCATGGATCTTTGTTGTTTCATCCTGGACGGTGTATCTGACAATCACCAATCCTCAGCCACCTTCCTTCTGCTTAGGAGCTTCCTTGTCCTCACATCTGTGGCTTCTATCTCCTCCTTTGGCCAGGTGATTACTGTAGAGGGTATCTGACAACTGGCAGGGCGTAGGTTTTGATTGCCCAGATCTTGTTCTACCCATTCAGTTGACTGACTAATAATAGCAACTTCTTTGTGGTTCCCGTTCACTGTAGCATTTCCAGGTACTTCTAGCTATTCTCAGTGTCTGGATTTTTGCCTTCTGGCAGTGGATCTCCTCAATTCTGATTACTTTCCATCTCTCTACAACCTCACATTAACCCCTAACGGTACAAATTTTCTTGTTTATGTGTGCAAAATTAGCCTCTGTAATGTAGGCAACAGATAGAGCTGTTTTTTGTTTTTAATTCCCCCTCTTTTTCTGTGTTTGTATTCTACATAATTGATATAACCTGAGTACATTCATTAGAATCAAAATATGGAATGAAATAACATTTATATTTCCTTGCACTAATATCATTTTACTGCATCAATTGAACCAACTGCAGCAGCACAATTCTCTTTTATTACATAAAAAAATACTCAAAAGATATACTTTTTGCTTTCTTATTTTGAGTAAGTTTCAGAACCTGTACTTTATAAATTTTAATTGAGTAAAGAAGTTAAATCAGTACTTCAGCTTTTACCAGTATTTTTTAACAGAAGTATCCGTACTTCTGCCTAATGGTGAAAACAGCATTGGCAGTTGTGGTGGGGCATGGTCCGTGGCGTGGCTGCGGGGGAGGCTGACATACCTGAGGTCAATCAGCTCATCACGCCTCCCCTATATTAAACATGTCGGGACCTGAGGTTGTTGTTGTGTGTAGGACGCAGCTGAAAAGCTGTGAAAAAGACATGAGTTGAAGAAACGACAACTGAATAAAGAAGCGTGCTGGAAAGTGCAAGTATGTGGTCGGGTCCGTCATTCCTCTCACAATAGTCTAACTAAAAACCATGATTGCAAATCCTATCAGGATTGATCTCTGACTTGTTCTAACTTTTGTTACAAAAAGGAATGGATGAAGGTGCATTACTCAGCCTTTTTGCAAGCTACTGCTTTATTACAGGGCACAAATACAAAATAAAACAAATACATTATATTTCTCATGGTGGCTGTACAGGAAAAGCCAGGGACGGATCACCAGTCAACTTTTTTCTTTGGGGAACACAGAAGTATAAAAAAAAAATAGAAATCCCACTGGTGCTGAGCATAGTGGACTGATCAACAGACCAAAGTTTAAATGCTAAAAAACACTTCTTGGTTATTAAGCCATACACTACCAACACAGTGAAATAAACACAATTACTTTTATTAAATGTCAATGTGAAACAATTTGTTCATTTATTTATTTATATTTCATGTATTTGCAGTCTTTATGATGTCATTTCATTAAACTCTAATGTTTCTTCCCACCTCTTCAGACCAGAGGGTAGCTTGCTGCACTAGCAATCCCACACTGGTTGGATTTGTTCCTGCTCATCTTAATGTATCCTTTCTCCCCCCATCCAACACCAAAGCTACAGGAAGAAAGAAAGTAACAACATTTAAACTGTTAGCAGTCGGACGTACCGCCCACGGGACATTGGATGGTTTAGGGGACTAATAGGACTGCTAAGGGGTTAACAGCTAAAAGTGGGCTGTGTTCACACTAGCAGTTCAATAACATGTAGAGACATGATGATCCGATTGTTAATCCATAAAAAAAGTTTTTATGTATCTGTGTATCAAATATAAATTTAAATATAGCCATCGCATGTGGGTATTTACCTGTTCTTGACCAACCAGTAGTCATGTCCATTTTCAGTACCATAACCCACAGCCAGCACACCATGGGTGAACATTGTGCTGCTGCAGTCGGGCTCATCATAAACTCCTGCAAACACATGTCAATTAAACTGATAGATGTAAAGAACAAAACTATTCCCATTTCTTTTTCAATTTTAAGACAATTTTCTTGGTACTTTCAATTGTGTTTCAATGACTGCACCTGATTCATAGAGCAGAAAAGACGGATGAGAAGCATCAATGGCCACTGATATTGGTCCGATGGTAGCCACAGCTTCTTTCAGGGTTTCTTCATTAGCTGGTTGCACATCAACATAGCCGGTGCATGTAGCACCAGTAGATTTAGGGTTGTAACGGCAATCTCCATCCTAATACAGAGGAAATATGTTATAATTTCTCGCGTTGATCGCAACACAGCATATAAAAAATGTGATGTTGAAAATGGATTTAGAAAGAAGTCAGTAAAGTAGCCACTGTGGGGTTTATTACTTGGACCTATAGTATGTTTTGGAAGTACTGTAAACTGCTTCAAACACTTTCATGCTTAATAACACTGTCTAAACGAGCCGATTTGCACCCCTGATTCATATATTTATCAATAATAATAATGAAGCTTATGCGTATGTTCTATAAGGAAGATCTGTAGTCACACATCTGTCTGTTTCCCAGGTGTTGGCATCTAATCTAAGCTTTGCATCACTTCCACTGTGACTTCTGCTGTCAAGCTTTTTGTGACATAACTGGTCTGGTCCAATCATATTTCTGCCATATTTCTCCGCATACTGTAAATCTCACTGGCATCTGTCATTTTCCCTTGCAGATGCCGTCATGCACCACACCTTCTCCGCATCACCACCTCTCGCTCGTCACAGGCTTCATTCAAGCCTCCATCTTCATCGCCACCACCAATGTCTAGATTCCAAGGGGTGTCCTGTTCTAATCCCTATCACCTCTGGGATTCTGGTCTGCTTTGATGGGCCATCAGAGTCTAACAGCCAAATAACTGAATTCTGTATATCAATAAATGATGTTCAGTTCCGTCTAATGATCTCTCCTTATTGAAATAATAATAATAACTTTATTTATTTATTCAGTTTTCAAAACACAGAGTTACAAAGGGCTTCACAGTTCAAATAAAAGGTGCACGTTGAAGACAAGTGTGCGTGTTAAAACATACAGACACATAAACAGTCACATGGTTAGTCATACCGAGAGATCTTCATTCTCACATACACATATACATACTTGTATCGTTTCAAACTATGGCCAAAATTGAAGGGGAATGGATTAAGGAAACATACTAAATTTTCAAGATGATTGAAAGGTAAAGGTTTGATTTTCACAATATTTTTCAGATGAAGGAAACAAAACTGGGTAACCTTTGAGATATGAGTTTTGAAATTAAAGTGATGATCAAAAGTGACACCAAAGTTTTTCGCAGATGATTTGAAATGATTGACATGGGGGCTAATGTCCTGACTAACGTCCTTAGTGGGCTGAGCACTAGAATCTCAGTTTGGCCCAGGGGTAACATATATAAAGAAGCCCTGGGGCAGGTGCAGATGAGGACATGCATTGATTTATATGAATCCTGAATTATCTGTTTGATAAGTATGATGAAAACCATTTGAGAGCAGTACCAGAGATGACAACGCAGTTTTGTAGCCTGCTAATAAGGGTAGCATGTTCAACAGTATCAAAAGCTGTTGAGCAGGACATTTATCTGAATGTATTAGAATATCATCAGTAATTTTCACTAAAGTTATCAAGCTGATGATAGTGAGATAAGATAAGAGAGAGATAAGATAGAACTTTATTAATCCCTCGGGTGGGTTCCTCTGGGAAATTCGACTTCCAAAAAAAGCACAGCAACGACCGAAGTTACAGTTACATGGCAAAGATGGCAAAGTGCTGAGGCTTGTATAAATTCAAAGATCATGATTTAAAAGGAATCAAGTGTGACATGTTTTTGACATATTGCAGTCTATTTACCTCGGCCTCATAAGGGTAGGACTCCTCAGTGTCAATCCCTCCATTTTCTTGGATGTACTTGAAGGCATAGTCCATCCAGCCTCCCTTGCAGCCATGGGTGCCAAAGCTCTGAGAGCAGTCGACCAACTGCTGCTTACTCAGAGACACCAGCTTTCCTGTTTTCCTGAAGTGCTGACCCTCCAGGGAGCCAGTCTGAAAAAACAAAAAGAGTGAGTTTGAAACCAGACCACAGCCGAGCAAAGTTTGCCATGTTACAAAAATAAAGAACAGAAAGTTATTTCTACTTACTGCACTGAAGGCCCAGCAGGAGCCACATTGCATTTGATTCTTGACATCGGTGACATATCCCTTATCTCTCCAGTCAACAGTGTCGGGTAGATCAGTACCTTCACGTTGTCGGAAGAAGGTAGAGCCGCGGCGAGGTAGAGAAGAATTGAAAGAGTGAAGGCAGCCCTGGGAAACCAGCCGTTTGTACTCTTCATTTTCCTGAGAAGAGGAACAGAGTTCATGGGGTTTTTATTTAAAAGTTTCTATGCATTCTTACATGCGTATATGCATTACAAAAAACAAGTATTTGTGAAATTGTAAATGGTGAGGAGTAAAATCTGAATGACACGTCTTTTTTTGCATATACCATGTCAGCAAATTGGGTCATCCCAAGGCGGTAGGACTTCAAACCCTGGTCTGCCAAGATGTTGTGCACTAGCACATGTTTGCGGTTGTTGAGCCAGATCTGCTTCCTTTGAGCCTCATCTGATTCAGAGTCATATGACTTATCTACCAATTGGAAAAGGAAATAGTGAAAACAGAACAATAGAAAATACATTGGTAATGAATGTAAGAAATAATCTGCTACGAAATTTCCCTTTTTACACAATTTTAACATATTAGGGTGAGCTCATATTTCTTTCCAAGTCTTCCCAAGGATCAACAGCAATAAAAAGACTAAAAGAGTCTGCTGTCTCACCAAACTTGAGTTTCCAGGCATGAAACTCCAGATCTTCCAGAGAGATGCTGGCACAGCTGGCCACAGCCAGAACAGCAGCAACAACAAGCAGCAACTTCATCTTGACTGAACACAAGCAGAAAAAGACACAGATGTTTTTCAGTTTTAAAATGTTTTCTGTCATAATATCTTCTGTCACTTTCATAGAATCACAGTATCTACTCTGCCCATTTTCTTTGAGTTTTTATTTCACCTTCCAATTCTTCCTCAAATGAATGATTCTCAGGTTTTTTTCCATCAGCATGTTACTGAAAAGTGTATTTACACTCATCTATGTGTCTATCTGTGCTGTAGCTGCTTACCTGTCTCAGTGTCCGCTATAGACGAACCACTTGTGACTGATGTACGTCTGTGTCAGAGACGAGTTCCTCTATAGCTGACTACAGTTATAACTGCTGTATTCCAGTCAAGTCAGGACAGAAGTGTGCAAACAAAGCAAAAGAATGTAATGCACTGAAACATAAAAAGGTGGAGCTTAGCATTAAGAGTCAACACAATTTGTTTGGCAGTGTTCCAAAGAGGAAGTGTGACTTTTTTACCCGCCCCCACAGTTGTTCACTGGAGGTTCACTGGTTGAGTAACATTCATGAAAGTCAGCATTTAGTCTTCTTTGGTCTTCAATAGTTTTTGTAAATCTCTTAGCTGTGTTTGGAATTATGGAAAAAAACAGTCCCAGACCTAAATTTTGCTGTTTCTCTCTCCTGCTGGTCTATGTACAAACAATATTTTCACTCAGTTGCTAAAAAGCCATACAAGCAGCCAATATCTGAGTCCACATTTCAGACTTCTTTAACAACAAAAATGATTTTGAAGTATTTAAGGCAGCTGAAAGTAGTCCAGGATGAAATGTGTTAGCTTGTCATTGAGCAATATTCTCAGCCATCTTCGAGTGTCTGAAAATCAATGAACAAGATAAAGTAAAACAATGCAAGAAAATCCCCTCTCACAAATTTATAGTTAAACACAAGGGTATGTAAACAGAATCTACAACATGGAACACAATTAATCTGCAATCTTAATAATAAAGTTGTTTATTTAACAAACCAGATAAGGCCAGGTGGTTGACTGGAGCTCATAGAGAAAAATCTAAAGAACTGAAGCAGATAAATGTGTAACTATACTTTAAGTGTCTGTGTAGATTCTCAGTTATCCAGGTGTTGGTAGTATTGAGCTCTTGAAATGAATTGTCAGAATTGAGGAAGGGTGAGTTGAGGAAGGGTGATCTGGTGGAGGAATATTGATATCAGTCAGCATTTCTTATGAGAGAAATATGTGAGGTTTTCAAATATTACAGGCAACTGTTGTTGTTTTGATGGCACTTTTATTTTTTGTGTTACATGCTGTTGAAATGTCAATTCAATGAGTAACCAGCTGGTCCAAAGGTCTGTAGTGAAGAAGCGGAGAGCTGGAGCTCGGCACTCCCTGGTGTTTCATTTTTCCTGTGAGATCTGAACTGTTTCAAGAAGTCTACACACCTTCATGTAGCGGGTGGCTAAACCTTTTTAACATGTATGTATCGCACCACACTGTAGACTACCCTAGATCTATAGGAAAAGGCTATATGCTGGCCAAAAACATTCCCTCAGTCAGTTCTCCTTTTTGCAGAACTGCAATCATCAGTACTCAGCAGCGATGTGGCAGTGTCATGGTGTGGCTGAAAGCGAAAGGTGACAAATGCAAATACACTACCCCACTGCAAAATCTCCAGTGTTAAATTGACACTAGAAAAGTGTTTTTATGTGTCCACTCTTTTGAGTGTTAAATTAACACTGACAGTGTTAAATTAACACTGACAGTGTTAAATTAACACTGACAGTGTTATATTTTAACAGTAACTTAGTCAGTGTTAAAGATTAACAGTGACTAACATTAGCAGTGTTGATTTTCTAACACTGAAAAATTACTAGCATTTTTATTTATTTTCCAATTGACCACTGGAGATTTTGCAGTTCAATAAGTCAGACTCGTTTCCGGTGGGTAAGGGAGTCTGCCAGGGCTTCCCTTTGTCACCGATCCTGTTTTTATGGACTGAATTTCTAGGCACAGCCAAGTGGCGGAAGGCTTTCACTTGGGTGGTCTCAGAATCTCATCTCTGCTTTTTGCAGATGATGTGGATCTGTTGGCTTCAACAGGCGATGGCCTCCAGCTCGCACTGGGACAGTTCACAGAGTGTGAAGAGGTGGGAATGAGAATCAGCACCTCCATGTCTGAGGCCATGGTCCTCAGCCAGAAAAGCGTGGAGTGCCCACTCTGGGTCAGGGACGAGTTCCTGCTCCAAGTGGAGGAGTTTAAGTATCTTGGGGTCTTGTTCACGAATGACGGGAAAAGGGAGTGTAATAGAAAATTTCTATTATTTGCATTTAAAGTATTAAAGTGCTTATGTATATGCTTAGTTGTGACATTGTAGCTGACTGTTCAGTGAAAGTTTCTAAAACTAAATGAACTTATTTCAGCCACAGCAGCTGGAGAAGACAACTCCCTTTACAGGCACTAATAACGCCAAGGGCACAAAACAGCATACCTATTGTTCCATTAGGTTTCATAGCGAGGCTCGTGATGTGTGTGGTATGATCGGTTTGTAACTTCCTCCCTCTTCCTTGGAATGCATAAAGGAGTGAGAGCACCACTTGTGGTCAGCCAAGTAGTTTAGAGTCTGCAGAAGTTCTTTTTTTTTTTACACACACAATGAAAATGTGTTCATAATCAAGTTGGCGCTCCGTATTTAGAGGGTAAAGAGCTTCGTTCAAGCGTTACTGTCTGGATTGATATATTGCCGGATGACGTAGAGTGCAGAGGGGTTTTTTTTGCAGCATGCTTACACATACACATGATAATAATAATAATAATAATAATAATAATAATAATAATAATAATAATAATAATAATAATA